AGATTAATATGTATCAAAAATTTCAATTTTTTAAAAAATGTCTCAGAATCCCATTTTCCTAGCAAACTTCCCATATAGTAAACCTATTTAAAATATATTCTGATATAATTTAAATGATATGTATGACATGTATGTCTATTTTATTCAAGTTACTATTTAAAATACATATAATTTAAAATGTCTATTTTACCTAAAATTTCATTTTTTACACATATATATTATATAGAATATACTTTAAAAATCTAAAATTAAAAGTTTTTTGATAATATGAAAGAAAATTAACTTATTTGTGAGCTATTTTCTATACTATTTACTAAATTTATATTTCTTGTGATTTAACGAATTAACAACTTAAGCTGTATAATTTAACTTCTTTGTAATAAATTTGTTTACTAGATCACTTACCAAAATTATTTTATAATTATTAAATATAGCCCTTCTATATGTTTAAAATAAAATAAAACTTTTATTTTTTATTTGAAAGAAAAAAGCAAAATAATCTAGCAAGATATAAAGATATATTTATCAGTATAATACAATAATTGTAAGATTTCTAATTAAATATATTACATGATAAGTGACTATAATACAACGTATACACTATTAACCTAACATATATTTTAGACATGCTTGACTAAATTAACTAAATTAGCTAAAAAATTAGGCTTATTTATAGTAAATACTATTACTGATATAACCAGCAATATCTAATTCAAAGTTATTACTAATCTTTTTATTATCACTAATATTGATAAGAATCTGAAATTATTTTTTTTATCATTTTTTTAGCTTAATCTAATATCAGTTATCTAAAGTTACTATTTATAAAGTTTTTTCATTTTTATTACTTATGATATATTTAATTTAATTAAAGCAATTAAAAATAAATATGTATTTCATGTGTTTAATAAATCAAATTATCAAAAAAATGAAATTAAAAAAATATTTTTTTTATTAAATATCATAGATGTTAATTTATAAAACATATAATTTTTCATATAAATTAAAGATTATTATTAGTTAGATAATTTTAGATCATTCTGAATTTTTAATATTTATTAATAAAACTTTAGAATTCTTTACATTAATAATTCAATTAAAATTATACTATCTAACTATAAACTAATAGATTAAACCTATTATTCTATTACTAATTAAAAATTAGTATAAAACAATTTTTCAAATTATTAAAAAGAATAAAAATTTTTTTAAATGTTCTTTCTTTTTATTACAAATTTTCATATTATAAAAATTCTTATTTTTTTTAAAAGATGTTTATTATTTTTAACTTATGAGACATTTTGCAATAGATAAGGGAAAACTCTAGAAAAAATTAATTTTACTTTTATGTTAAATATGATTATTAGGTAGAAATATATTCAAATTAAACATTACTTTATATATTTTTATTTTTTCCCCTTTCTATTATAAAGATCCTATTTTATTAATTTTTTTGCTATTTCTTACTAATAATTATTTTTATATTTAGTTATTTTTAGATAAATTATACCCGGGTCTTATTTACGCTTTTTCAATAAGTATAAAAAAGAGTAATTATTATCGGTTGAATCTAACAATGTTCTTTCTCTTTTTGATTCTTCAAATATAACTTAAATCCAAAGCAAAAAAATTCTCATTTTTCTTTTGGTTTTGCAACAACAAATATGTCAACACCTATTTCATCTGAAGCAGAAGCATTACGCCAAGCAGTCTTGTTATCAATGAGACGTGAGACGATACAACAAAATGAAAATCAAGAAGCAACAACTACATTAGCTCAACTACAACAAATGGATGTAACTCGACAAGTTACAATAAAAAATGACGGTTATACGACACCACCGCAAAGACCTTCGCTTCCTTCTGAAGAGTATGTTACGCCGGAAGCTCAAATTCTTAACGCTTCAGCAATTCCAGCCTTTTCACCAGAAGAAGGAGAATATGTAGATTCTGGCGAAGAAGACTCTGACGAGGATGATTTCCGAAAGACTAGACCAATAACAAACCCGTTTGACATAATGCAAGCAGTAGTAAACGGAACTAATTACGAACGAACTACTGGCAACTTATTTCAAAGATATCTTGAAAATTCTCCTGAAACAGCTTGGGCCTTTGATAGCGAAACTGGAAGTCCGGCTGAAGAAGGCGAAATAGAAGAAGGAGAAATTGTTGAGTCGGAGTTGAATTCTGAAGAACATGTAATTCGGGTCAAGAATGCAGACGAAGAGGCAAGAGAATTGATGAAAGAGCTTTACGAAGAATATGGAGCACAACCACTTGATATCATTGAAGAAGGAATCCCAATCGATGTCGTGGTTCGATTTACAAGGGAGCTTAATCACAGATTGCCACCAGAATTAGAAGTTTTTAGTGTTGTAACTCCAAATGGACAAGAACAAGCTTCTTCGTTGACACAATTGAATACTGTTTCGCTCAGCACAATCAAACTTGAACCGGTAGAAGATAATTTACCCATAATCAACAATGTGGAGAGCCAGCGCGAAAATCCCTTAGTGCAAATAATACCCACAGCTTCTCAAGTTGAGCCAAATTTTGTATCGATGGATAGGCCATTTATGGTATCCAGGGAACAAAATTTTATTATTGATTTAAGTGATACTTCAGACGATGAACACCATATTGCTGGCTTCCTTAAAGAAGTTAAGTCATCATTATCTGGCAATGAAACACAATTGGATGCCAAGCGGAAGTTGGAGGAGAAGGAACGTGAAATAAAGAGAATGAACGAGTTGATCGCGAGCAAGACTGAATTGCTCAAGAGAAAATCTAATACAACAACTCAATCAATGTCAACCAGCTCAAATACGGAAGCTTCAATTGACATGATTCGAGCAGAATTGGAAGCTTTCGAAACAGCAAAATCTCATGTTTCAGAACTTAAGACTCGCCTTAACGAAGAAGATAAGGTGCTTGAAAGTATTCGATCTGAAGTAGCCGATATTGATATCAAGATCGAAGAAAGTAGCTCACTCGCAAAGCAATGCGTAGAGCAAATGAAAAGTTACGACGTACAAAAGGGCCAAATGCTACATAAGAGAGAAGAAATCGAATGTCGCATCCGGACACTTCACGACGAACTTACTGAAGTTCAGTATCAAATCGATAACGTTGATAAAGAAAAAGAAAGCACAGCCATTGGATTGGCCAAAAAAGAAGAGGAATATGCACAACAATTAAAGACGAAAGAACAGCATTTGGAACGAGAGAGTGGAGTAGTGGAAAACATCGCACAAATTAGGAAACAGCTTGGACCGATATTAAATGATATTAAAGTTAAAAAAGAACGACTTTCGCAAATGGTTGCTCAGTCGACAAAGACACGGAACGATTTGACTTTGGTCGAATCATCGCCATCCGTTCCTAACAAAAACGGAAAAAGGGGCATCTTTCACGAACCAGAAGTGGTTCAAGAGGAAACTTCGAAGAAACCCAAATTAGCTCATGAAGTAGCAGAACTCAGTAAGAAGATCGAGCAGGTGAGCAAGGAACAACAATCCTTGCGAGAAAGCTTAGAGAAGAAGCGCCAGGGAGAGGCAGAAACGACAATTTCTAAAAAAAGTCAAAATTTGGGTCCAGACAACGAGTGGAGAGCTGAAAAGATAGCTTCGCAAGAAGTAAGTATTTAATTTATTAAACGTGTTTAAACTTTTTAATGTATTTATTTTATATCTTTATATATATAATTATGTTTTTCTCCATTTTAGGCTATTTCTGAAAATAAATATGAAGTCTTCAGATCTTATGAAAGCCCATTAATTGACTTCCGCTCATTCAGATTCCACCCTGAATATCTCGAAGTTGTGAATGACGCTAAGTCATTCACATATAATAATAGTATCGTTCCCAACAAGAAGATGTGCGCGTTTGAACTTCAACCGCGGGGTATATGCAATGACGACGATTGCAGGTCACAACATTTCCGTGAGCTTCCAAAGACCGGTATGTACTTGTGTATCATCATTTTTTTTTAAAAAGACAAAATACACATTTTTTTTATTCATTTAACTATTATATAACTTCGTTTTTTTATTATAGAAAAAATGATCATTAATGATCTTACCGGATATTACGAAGGTGAGAATATCTCACAACAGCGGCATTACCGTGAAGGCCTTCATAGGCTACTCGGTGATCTTGAAATGAACGGAAGGGACTCGTTCCTCGAGAAATTCGAGGATATAAGAAAATATCGCGACACATTTGTTGCAAGAAGCCAAAACGATGGCACTGGGGCTCCACGGGTTGTGTTCACAAATGAACACCGGCCATTGACCAATGACTGGTACATTTCGCTGCCGGCTCGCGAAAGTGAATCGGATTATGTTTCCGAAAGCTTGCCCACACCAAGAATGCCAACATCATCATCGTCCGGACCAGATGACGACCATCAACAAATATATCCAACTTCACCTGAGTTAGAAGATGAAGATGATGACGGTGATTACTTCTCACCTCCTCTTCACGAGAAAAATGAGGATGAAAAATATGAAAACTTTGACGAAAGTATGGAGACATGTCACGAATCCGACGATCAATACGCCGAATTAAGCGAATCTGAGTCTGAATCCGCCGCATCCGGAAACGGAAACGAACAAAAAAATATCGCGAACATTAGATCATCGACTGAATTTGCATCTATAAATAATGAAGTGCATGAGCGGCAAGAAATCGTCCCAGAACAACAGAGAGAGGAACAAGAAGTTTATGCTCCATTTGGATATGTAGGCAGAATTATCAATTGGTTTTTAATTTGATGATTTATGGAATGTTTATTTGTAGTATTATTACATATGGGAATGTTACCAGTAAGAAAAGTAAACCATATAATCTGTAATCTGTAATGTGATTTACTGGTAACGCTCCTATATATTAGTTGCATATCATATTACAAAAAGAAAATGATTGAACCTACTGGGCTAGTTTTGTAAATATTATAATATAATAAGAAATATTTTTGGAATGAGCATGTATATAATTATTGCAAAAAAATTATTTATCATTGATAATATTAAAATGTAAAATACAAAAGTTGTTACAATATTTACAATATTGATTACTTGTAACAGATTTATATATTAAAGCTTATTTATACTACTACTATTTTGATTACTTTTAAAAGATAGACAAAAGTTTTAAAAAAGATAGTATTTTATTCAAAAAGTATATATATTAATAAATAATTGGAATATAAAATATTTAAATCTTATTAAAAACTGGAGTTTAAAATATTCAAATATGGTTTTTTATAATTTTTAAATTTATTTAATAAACAATAAAATTTATATTATTATTAATAAAAATAGTTGGAAGCTTTATAATAAAAAAGAAGGAAATTACAAAAAAATTAAAAATTTTACTTTATAAGTTAAATGTATTTTTTTAGTAAAATAAATTCAAATCATATTTGCAAAGTATTTTAACATATAAAATCAGTTGTTGATTCTTATAATGTATAATTAATCTAATTTTTTATTAAGAAAAACAATTTTACTGCATATAATTAGAATGTGACTAAAATACAAGTTAATGACTTTTTTTTAGCCAGTTCTTTCTATACTCAACTAGTATAGCTTATTAAAATTAGATGAAAGTTGACTTAACATTTCATAAGAATTTTATATAATCTCTTTTATATTCTGATTCCATACAAAATATATTGTTTTATTTACTGATATAATAAAAAATTTATGTTATGTAATAAAATTCTTTAGCCTAACTAAATAAAGGGCATGATAAATAGTATTTATAAAAACATCTTATACTGTTTTTTCTTCAAAATTCTTTGATTTTAGAAGTATATAGCTATCAATTTTGTGTTTTGTTTATTTTCAAACATTTAAACTAGTTATACTAATTATTTTTATTAAATATAATTGATTTAATCAAATTTAGATTCTATAGAATTAATAGTATTAAGTTATTTTAATGTATCAAAAATTATTGACTTTTTATATCTAACAGTTTTTACAATATTATTTATATAAATTTTTATATTGATAATAATAACTATTTTCTATATTATTTGGCAGTTAATTCATTTTTTTTTCTATTTTTTTTTTTGTATGTGTAATAAAATAAATATTCATGTAAATTTAACAAACATTTAGTATAAATCATTCTGTATATAATATTATTGATTTCCAAAAAAAATGTTTAAAAACTTTTGATACTCTTTATATAATTATATAATTATATTTAAATCTATTATTTGATTAATCATTTATACTTTATAAAATTTTTGAAATTTTATATAATACATTACACTTTAGATATATTGCAAATATTTTTATTTATTAAATTCTAATATTTTTTTTGGTTATATAAAAACTTATTTGATACTTTTCTTTAATTAAAATTATTTTTGATTTATCATCCTAAATAAAAATTAAATCATAAAGTTTATTATCATTTTTTTTTTGATATATCAATTATTTTATGATTAATAAAAATCAGTTTATTACTAAAAAAATTATTAAATAAATTTTGATTTTATTCAACCAATTTGATTTTTTCTTTTTCTTTAAGTTAATAATATCTTTTATATTATTCTAAAAACTTTTAATTGAGTAAAATGCTACAATTTAGAAGTAATCATATGAAATCTATTTATTTTACTGATATTTTTTAAATATTCTATATTTGACCAATTTCCTATTATAGTAAAGAAAGATATTACGTCATTATAAGTTATTATAAAATTTCTCCTTATGAGATTTATTGTTCATATAATTATATTAAATAAATTTAACTAATCGTATCAAGTATTATCTTGCAGTTTAAAGGTAATAGTATTTCTGATTAGTTACAAATGAAATCACATTTCAAACTACAACTCATCAAATTTTTAATAAATTCTGAAATAAAATTTGTTAATTGTGAATTTTACATTGAAAAAATTTGGAAACCATTTGATTATGCATTAATGAAAATCAATGTTCTGGAATTTTGATATCAGTTTTTATTTTAAGGTTTTGGTTATAGGAATTTCAATATTGGATTTAATTTTAGAATTTTTGATTCTCATCAGCATTATTATTAGTTCCTATACAAATGATTACTTTAAAATCTTTAATTATTATCATCAAACAATTCATCTGTATAATTGGTAACATCCTAAAATATTTAATAAAATAATAATTTAATATTGTCTTCATGTTGATTTTCATTAACTTTGAATACAATCAAAAATTAAATGTAATGATAAATATATGATTTGTAACAGTTTCATCCTATTATGCCTACAATATATAAATGCAATAATTTAATCATGTCTTTTGATTATTATTGATAAAATTTTTTAACATGCATGCTTTTTTAATTATACTGAAATATAACAAGATTTATATTTATAAAATCCTTATAAACTAACATCAAAGGTTCTGCAATACTTTTGGATTTCATCATTTGGTGAATGCAAAAAATCTTGTATATTCAAAAGTTAGTCTATATATAGAATATGTAAAAAAATTTAACATAAATCTCAGGAAGAAATAGAAAATAAAATCAGAAAATATCTGGTAATCCTAATTCCAAAGAATTTTTTACAGAATAATTATTCACAATCCAGCTTATCCTAAATCTCAAAGTCTATTTAAGTAAACCAACTTCTTCAAAAACTAATTAACCAGATTACTATGTCTAATATTACTCTACTTCCTAATGCTGCTGCATAAAAAAAAGCTGCAGAAGCAATTAATGCAACTAATGTAAAGCTTGCTGAACTTCAATAAGTTTATAATTTTACTATCAATTTGAAGATATAGGTTAATATAATAGAATGCATTACAACTCACAGGAAAATTTTGTAATAAGAATAATAAGGTTAAAAAATTGAAGCGTCAAATAGAACATCAACAAAAAAGTAAGGCAAAAAAGCAAAACTTTTATAAGAATATTAAAAAGTAATACAATATAACATACCTAATCATCCACCTTTTCTGATTTAATATTCTGATTTACATGAACATATATATGAAAGTATTAAATCCAAAGTTGCAAATAAAAAAGAAGAAAAGAAATTATTAAAATTAGAACCATTTACCATCTTCAAGAGGCTCTAATTTCAAAATATAATGAGTATCTTTCTTGTACTATCCTTAATAATTACTTGCTACTATACCGTTTAAATATTATAGCAGTTAAAACTTATCACCATTCTGCTGTTATTGCAAATGTCTCTGTTTCACAAAATAAAAGAAAGGAATGTATTGATAAATATTATTGTCTTGTATCTATAAAAAGAGTAAAATAATTTGCAGCTTTATCTTTGATCCATTCTGTTATCATTTTTCAGAACAATAAAGTCAAAATATCTCTTGGTATTCCTACAATTGAAAGAACTTTTTAAACTATACAAAATTTTCAAGAGCCAGTTACACTGCCTAATCATGATTTTTTAGTTAATATGTAGCAAAAGCTTATTCTATCAGTTTACTTACTTATTGATCTGAATAATATGAATAATACTTTTCATAGTGTCTAACTTTCAATTTTTATGTGTTTACAATACCAAGTTGATATAAGCTTAACTATTCATATAAGTGATCTGAACTTGCTAACTAAAGATATTTATTTTGATTAAGTATTAAAATTGATGGCTAAATCAAATCCATTTGAATCTTTTAGTTGATAAAGGTTCAGATAAAAATCCCTATCACATGAAAAACATTCTTTAATATTGTAGAATATTTTATATCTTTGATCTTGATTATCTTTTTATTTGATCATATGTATCTAATCAATTAGTATTATTACCAGCTAAAAATTCACTATTAAAAAGTTGATCTATAAATAATTATTAAACAATTTACAAAAGTTATTAGAATTAATTTTATATCAATCACAAATTAGAAAATCTATATAATCTGGATCCATAGGATTCTTAGGATTTCTAGGATTTACCAGATCCTCCAGATTATCATAATCCATTAGATTCTTTTAATTTCCTGTATTTTATATTATTTTTATTATTATTATTATTTTTATTATAAGTATTATTTCTGTTATTATTATTATTATCATTATATTAATACTTGTAGTTACAAATTTAGTTAGTTTATAACATAGCAACTAGTTAGCTATAGCTAGTGATACCTGCCTAAACTCTTTTTAAAAAATTGTAGTTTTGTCAAAAGTTTCATCTTTTTAATATTTTTATATGAATAAATATAAAAATTATTATATTTTTTAATGATTTTAATTCAAGGAATTTAGATCAAGTTAAATATAATTTCGGCAATTAAGTAAAATAATTTTGTTATTAATAAAAAACTAGTTTCGTCATTTTGGTTTCGTCAATTTTGTCATATTAAGAAAGGTAATTTCGTTAGGTATCACTAGCTATAGCAAATTAATTTTGTATAGATAGAATAACTTTTTACTCAAGTTGTAAATTAACTCTCTTATAAGTTTTTAAATACTTGTGAGATTCAAGTAATAAATAAAAGAATCAACTTTAAACAATGATTACTTTCCCTTCTACATATTTATCATCTAAGATTTGATCATGAACTACATACTACCTTGCTTTTAAGTTCATCATTTAGAATAAATAAATTCTCTATATTTCTTCTAAGTCCTTAAATTTTTAAGTTCGTAAAATTAAGCGAATAAGTCTTATGCGAAGACTATACCGTAGCCGAACACATATCTAGAAAGATGGAGCCTTCTTCCAATTTTTTATATATAGATTACGAAGAAGACTCCACTTTCAGATACATATCTACTTGTCTTCCTTTCACGATTTGTTGACTAAGTTCAGATGAAGGCTTCTGCCATTTTTATATAATATAATTACGCACTTACCTACACTTTTAGATACAACTGGATGCCTTTCTTCTATGATTTGCTCACTAAGTTCGGATGGCAGCTTCTGCCAATATTTATATAATAGATTACGCAGAAGCCCCACTTTCAGTTGCATATTCATTTGCCTTCCTTTTACGATTTGCTTACTAGGTTGCTATACGCCTCTTTTTACATCCTCTGAAAAAAATTAATTAAACATTTCCGAATTTTATAAAGTAATATAAATATTTTCAAACTAACATCATGCATACACAAACTAATTTCGTCCAAACTGATCATGGAACTCTCACCCACTACGACGGCGCCGAATCCGATGAATATTTAAGTGACTCAAGCAGTTGTACTGTTAATAGATCTGACTTAGGGTCAGATTATTATAATGACTATGAGTCTAATTATGAGTCGGATAATGAAGAAGCTTCCTGCACTTTAACCAGCACTATCAAGACTCCATTGGTTCAACCACTAAATGTAAACGAGTGAAAGATTAATGTGGCATATACTTTAAGGCAGGAAAAGTTTAATGATATTTTTTCTTCCAAGGACTTGCTAAATGCTATTCGAGAAATTTTCCTATCACCACCTAGAGATATGTCAGATGAAAAGGGGTCATTGGAATATCTCCCAATCTATTCATTTCTCTTTTCGAATGAAAAAGGGTCTAGCTTATATAATGCTTATGTCCGGGATGAAGTGGAAGATAAATTGGTTATCAAAATTGATTAAGATGATCGAGCCCCAAAGTTTTCCATCGCAGATGACATTTCTGAAGTATATGGTTTACCCGGGATTCATGAATGTATTAACGGTCAAAAGCCTTTAAGAGCTGTGATTGATATAGATGCATCGAAAGAAGATATGGAAACAGCTAATGTTAAAGGACAGGAAGTATTTATTCGAATCTGTTGCTCTTTCATAAGAGTTTTGTATCGAATTCTTGACTGTGGTTGGAAAGATATTCTCAAAGGGTTAGTAATTGCTACGTCTTCAGATTCTAGCAAGTGTAGC